CCATGCTTCTCAGGTTGCCAGGTCCGGGACTCGAACCACAATCAGCCATGTGGGAATCCAGTGCTCTAACCACATCATCTGCTGGTTCCACATGTCCAGAATTTTAAGACCTTCTGAACTATTTGGACTGACTGGATTTTCACTCCAGTGTTAAACGCAAATGGGAGCACTAAAAGCAGGCTGCAGAGAAGACGGAAAGAAAGCCCTCGTGCACAGGGAGGCCGAGACACAGAACACTGAAAGGAAGCAGTGGTCTGCTGGAGCCAGAGCGCCAGCTCAGAGAGCAGACAGTGACGCTTCCGGAACCTGGGCCAGGTACAAGTCAGTGGCAGCATGGAATCTGTCATAGTGGGACTATTTACACCACAGAAATTAGGCCACAAATCAGGGCTGGCCCTCTCGCCGACGAGCTAGGTTATTAAACATGTCTTGACATTCCACTTACTAATGGATTCCAAAAGCTTCCTAGTTCTTATACATGTTAGGCCAAAATGCATCATCATGACAGACAGACCCTGGAGGGTGAGTGACACCTTGACATCCAGAAAACACTAATAAATTCCCATTTGGGGCTAGATGGTGGTACAACAGTAATGAATTGCACCGACAAGGGAAGGTCCAAGGCCCGTGGCCCAAGGTCTCCCATTACAGACCAGGTATGCATGCATACCCATGATCTAAGTTGGCTGAAGCTAGGAGTGGATTATGGTGCGGGGACACTATGGGGAGGGGGTTCCTCGCTCTCTGTTTTTCTGTTTTTGTTTTTTTTTCCCCCCTGCCTCTCTCTCTCTCTTTCTGTCTCTTATGGAAGAAATAAACTTCAAAAATAAAATAAAATAAATTCCTACCATTATGTTTGCTCCTGTCAGGTACTTGTTACTTGGAACCAACCCCATGAAACATGCAAAAATGTATACATGTGTTTATGTACCTTTTCCCCAGGAGAATGGACTAATCAGAATCTCACAGAGACTGATGGGTCAAAAATGACAAAGCTTAGCTTTAGCATAACATCACCGAAAATGAGTGATAAAAACAGTACTGCCTGCTGCTTGCTTTCTCACCAGCCTCTAAGAAGCACATACGAACGATGCCTTTGCCGGAAAGGCAGTGCCTGTTCAATTGCTGTTGCCGTTCATTTACTTCTCGCTGAACTGAGGCTGGATGTGACATGCGAGGGGAAGCACAGAGGGCCAGAACACGCATGTATTCTCTGCATAATCAGCCACAGTCTAGCAGGCACTCGAAATACAGTGTAAAATGTAAACAGCCTGCTCTCAGAGGGGCTGTGGAGGAAAGGGCTGGCATGGAGCGCTGAGGACAAGCAAGGTGGAGGCGGCAGAGCAGCGTCGAGGGAGCTCCTGAGCCTCGGACTGAGGGGCTGCAACCAGCCGGACAGGAGGTGTCCACGGGAGCGGGGATCTCAGCCTTCTTAGTGCACTGAGTTCCAATTCAGTGGGCGTAGGGTGGAGACAGAGTCACATTTCTACCAAGTCCCCGGTGAGGCCGACTCATGGTCCGCACTTTGAAAACTGCTGCTCTAGGACCTTGTTGCTCAAACGGCGACTATGAATCTGCAGCTTGGACATCGGCGGGGACGTCTTAGAAATGAATGCAGGTCAAGAATCACTTTTCAGAATGCTCGGGACGAAAAGTGTTTTAGATTTTTTTTTAGATTTTGGAATATTTGCATATACGTAATGAGCTATCTTAGGGATGGGACCCAAGTCAAACCACGAACTTCGTTTAGATGTCATTTTTGCCTTATACACAAAACCTGAAGATGATATTACACGATACTTTTATATGGTAGCATTTTGACTGTGACCCATCACATAAGATGGGGTGTGGAATTTTCCACTTCTTGTATCCTGTCAGGGCTCAAAATGTTTCAGATTTTGAAGCATTTTTGATTTCAGATTTTGGGACAAAGAATTATCAACTTGGGAGCCAGCAGGTGGCGTGGTGGTTATGGCACTGGACTCCCACATGACCGACTGTGGGTTGAGCCCTGAACCTGACGGCTTGTTTTCTTACTTTCCCTCTCTGTCTCTCTCTACCTCTCTCTGGTGAGTGTATGTTTCCTGTAGCAAATTATAAAATAACAATGATATTAAGTTAATAATTCTTTTATTTCATTTTTTTAAGAAAAAGAATTGTCAACCTATGCAGAAGGCCTTCTGGCTCAGAGGTCACTTAAGGATTTGCTTGGGGTAAAATGGCCACTTGGCTGAATTACTCAGAGCTGATTTAAAGCTCAGACCAAACCCTGATCTCAAAGATCCACTTAAGATACAGATACCAGAGGCCCTCCCCAGACCCAGAACAGCAACAGGGTCCTCTTCTATCCTTTTTAGAGGCAGGCATGGCTAGCCAGGGAAGAAGTTAAAATTACAAGGCCAGGGTTAAACTCTCTGACATTTGTAATTGTCCCAGACCTCGCTAACTATCACCATGCCAATTATGGGACAAATGCAGCTTCTCTGCCCACATCTCTCAGCCTGTATCCAGGTCAGACACACCTTCTCCTCACAGCAGGCCCAGAGAGGAGACTAGTCTGTGGTCATCTCTGAGCACAAAACCACACTTGCGGAAGGCTATTCCCTGGAACTCCAGGCCATTTATGTGATTATTATCTTAGATTGGAGGCTGGCCCGTGGTCTAGCGGTTAAGGGAGCCAGATCCCATGTGGCCAACCACACAGCTCAAGTCCCAGACATAGGAGCCTGAGAAACATACTAGACACATGAGTGTGCTTGCCTCAAATCCCAGCAGGACGGGGAAAGAGAGAAAGGTCTGCAGTATGACCCTGCCTTATGAGCAGCGTTTTCTCCCTCTCTTCCTCCGTTTCTCTATCTTTGTGTCTTCTTCCTCTCTTCCTCTGTCTTTCTATCTTTGGCAAGTACATGTACCTTCTCAGAAATTAAAAATTTAGGGGCCAGCAGTTAGTGTAATGGCTGTCACTGGACTCCCATGTAGTCGACTGCAGTTCGAGTCCCGGACCGAGGGGCTTAAACTCACGCTGGGCACGTGTGCATGTGTGCCCAAGATCCCAAGAGGAGAAAGGAGGAGAAGGGATTGTGGCATGGCCACCTCCCCGGGGGTTGATTTCTCGCCGTCTGTCTGTCTCTCTCGGTCTTTCTGGCGAGCGTACGCGTCCTCTAGAGAAAAAAAAAAAAAAACCTCTCCAAAAAAAGAAGGAGAAAAAGAAATTTTAATTTAAAATAAAATATGGGTCAGCAGGTGATGTGGAGGTTATAAGGTGGCCAAATTCCTCATGGTTGACTGCATAGTTTGACCTGGTGGCCTGAAAATCGCACCCGTGCATGCACATGGGTGCCCAAAATCCCAAGGGGAAGGGGTTGCAGCATAGTCATCCTCTACAGGGAGTGCTTCCTCACTTTCTCTGTCTGTCTCTGCCTCTCTCTTTGACAAGCACACTCACCCTGTTACAAAAACCAAAAATAAATAAATAAATACAATTTAAAAATTGCAGATTGCCCTGAATCATCTCTCTCCTACTGGTGTCTTAAATTGTTCTTAAAATTTGCATTGCTCAGTTTTCTGTCTTTTCCCTGAAACCAGACAAAAATTTCTTTGAAGTTTTGAGTTTCTTCCGTGCCCACAGAAACTAGTACAAAGTAGATATTCACTCAATCTCTCTTGTTTTACTGGTTGATAATCCTGATTAGATATTTCAGAGGCTTTGATCTAAAAAAAAAATAAATAAATAAAAATTCACTTAAACTGTGTTTTAGAAATCAGCTGTTAAAGTGGTAAGTTTTTTCTTTAAATAATTATTTTATTGGGACCAGCAGTTAGCATAATGGCTATGCCACTGTACTCCCATATAGTCGACCGCAATTCGAGTCCTGCACCCAGTGGCTTAAACTCTCACCGGGTGTGTGTACATGCATGCCCAAGATCCTGAGAGGAGAATGGAGGAGAAGGGATTGTAGCATGGTCATCCTCCCTGGGGGCGGGGGGGAACTTCTCACTTTCTGTCTCTCTGTCTGTCTCTTTCTGGCAAGCGCACACACTCTATAGGAAAAAACTCTCAAAAAATCATCTTATTTAACTTTTACTTATTTACTTATTTATTTTAATTTGACCACAGAGAGACAGAGTGAGAGAGAGAGAGAGAGAGAGGGAAAGTGAGAAAGCAAGTCGCCAGGTCCGGGACTCGAACCACAGTCGACCATGTGAGAGTCCAACGCCCTTAACCACCACACCACCTGCTGGTCCCTAAAGTGGTAAACTTTTGCAGTTTTGCAAGTTCCATATTGTAAATATAACTCAAAACACAAAGTAGTAAATGAGGGATAAAAGAGGCCCCCTCTTCACTGTTACCTCTTCTTGTTTGGGATTTCTAGTAAATTCAGAGATTAAAAAAATAATAATAATAATGGAAGAGCTGTCAAGAGAGGAGTGGTCTCTGTTCTTTTTTTCTTTTATATGTTATATAACTTTAATGTGTTTCTTTTATTACTAGATATAGTTCAAATACCATTAAACTCATTCCAAATTTATAATTCTGTGGTTATTAATATATGTGCAAACTTGCGCAATCATAACCATAATCTAAGTTCTAGAACATGTGCAGCACCCCTAAAAAGAAACCCTCGACCATTTAGGAATCACTCTCCAATTCCTCACACCACCCCAACCCCAAACAACCATCCTCCACGTTCTGCCTTCAGAGATCTGCCGGTTGGAGATACTTCACAGAAACAGAATGTTACAGGATGTGACTTCTTGTGTTTGGCTTCTTTGACTTCCTGTAATGGAGTCAAGATTCTCATACTGCAGAATATACTTGCTTCTTTGTAATTGCTGACTATTTCATTGTAATCTATTCTATCACCTCAAGTTTGTATCAAAAAATATACATCCTATTTAGGAGGATTATGTTACAAAGTATGAGGTTCAGGGAGAGAGACATCTTTTCCCTGTTTCCAACCTATTCTAGGCAGTGGCTTCAAAGCATCACCATGTGGTACCTGACCAGATCCATCCCCAGTAAGGCTTCTGTCTCGGCAGCTGGTTCTCTGGCATTGATGGCTTCATTGGCTATGCACACTCCATGTTCATTGGCTCCCATTTCTGCCCCCCAGAGCCAGGCGGGTCTGCTAATCACGATGGCATGGGTCCTCGGAACTTGGTCGATTGAAATGTAAGTGCACTAAAAAATTAATACAGAAAAGAAAACACATCACTCGTCGCTTAGTCTCCAGCTCATACTTACTTTAGACTGTCCTGTCAGTTACAAACAGAGACCTCAAGAAATAGGAAGGAAGAGAAGAAGGAAAGAAGAGCAGGCAAAGTCTTGGGGATGCACAGCTTTTAAAGAACCCCACATCCCAGTGCAGCCAAAAGGTCTCTAGGGTTGAGTTCCAATCTCTTTGGTCCAAGCCAATCCATTCATAGCCACTACGTATGTAACCATCATCTTAAACCAGGTATATGCAGTTAATCATTGCCCTAAACGTTCTGTGTCTGGTCATTTCTTTTTTTTGAAGCAATTTTTTGGGGGGTTTCCAGAAGGCGCATGGGCTCACCAGAGAGAGAGAAAAGAGGGAGAGAGAGAAAGAACGAGATGTGGTCATGCCATGCTCCTTTTTCCTCCATTTCTCCATTCTTTCAGGATTCGGGTCATCTATGTCTATGTAGCTAGCATGTGTTTCAAGCTGCCAGAGTCAGCATTTTCAAGGTGTTTTTGTTTGTTTGTCTGTTTTTATTTTTGTTTTTGTTTTTTCAATTTTTAAGTTATAGAGTCCTGGGCCAGCAGGTGGCATGATGGTTAAGAAACTGGACTCCCACATGCCTGACCACAGTTTGAGTCCTGTACCTGGTGGCTTAAAAATCGTACAAGGTATGAGTGCTTGCATGCCCAAAATCCCAAGAGGAGAATGGAGGAGATTGTGTCATGGCCATCCCCTCTTGGGGGTGATTTCTCACTTTTCCTCTGTCTCTCTCTCTCTCTCTCTCTGGTGAGCATGGGCTCTCAGTGGCAGAAATGTTAAAAAAAAAAAAAAAAAAAAAGTGATAGTGCCCTATCTCCCAAAGGAACTTTGCTTAGAAGGCTGACATTGAAAGTAACTAAGAGGAAAGATACTTAGTCTGAGGAAGGGAAGTCCCTGATTCCCCAACAATGGTCCCTGGAGCTTCCTGGAACTCAGCTGGATAACCTATATGATTGTTCTAGCAGTAAAAAGGGGAAAATGATAAGAACATTTATACTAAACTATTGCTTTACAGCCTATACTTTCTACACGTATATCCAGGATATCTTTCCTGGATATCCCAAATGATTCTCAGACTAAGCCCATGGGGTAGACACAGAAGGAAATGGTCCCAGAGAGAGAGAGAAATATGTCTTTCTTTCTTCCTTTCTTTCTTTCTTTTCTTTTTTTTTTTTTTGAGAGGGTTTTTCTATACGGTGCCATCGCTTGAGAGGTTTTTGCTATACGGTGCATGCGCTTGCCAGAAAGAGAGGCAGAGAGACAGAAAGCGAGAAATCACCCCCCAGGGGGGATGACCACGCCGCAATCCCTTCTCCTCCATTCTCCTCTCGGGATCTTGGGCACACATGCACATGCACTCAGCGTGATTTAAGCCTCTGGGTCTGGGACTCGAACCGCGGTTGACTACATGGGAGTCCAACAACATAGCCATTACACTAACTGCTGGTCCCCAGAGAGGAGTATTTCTAACCAGAGTCAAAACTCAGCATCCTCCACTCAGAGCTGGGTGTCCTACCCTCTCCAGGAGGCTCTGTCTTTGCCTGGACAATGAGGGAGCTAATTTAACATTTCAACCAAACTATTTCTTCCAAATATGCTTAACCTCGAAACCTTTCCTTCACACAAATCCTGACAAGGAAGTAGAAGCACAACAAAGCTGGTCAGAATGTCAGATAGGAGGAAGAGGCGGGGACAGGCTGTGGTAACCAGAGGCTAGCTGGCCTGTTCTTTCCTCTCCCTTCTCCTGCCATTCTGTGGAGAATAGGAAAAGCCACTCCACGAGGTTGTCCAGAAGGGCCGTCTGCCCCTGATATTCTCTAAGCCTGTGACCACCTGTATGGTGGAGGCAGTTTGGGATTTAGGGTTGGACATTACACAGTGCTCTTGAGTTCTCAGGAGAGAGTTCAATCAGCTACAGCAATTGACTCTTTTTTTTTTAACTTTATTTGTTATCATTATGTTTTTTCAAATTTGCTATCAGGTATATGTGGCACTAGAGAGAGACAGAGAAACAGAGAGAGGGAGAAAGCAAGCCGCCAGGTCTGGGACTCAAACCACTGTCGAGCATGTGGGAGTTCAGGGCTTTAACCACTGCTCATCTGGTGGCCCCAGCACTTAACATTTTAAATTGGGTATCTGGAAGCACTGGATCCACTGTAGCTTTAAGTCTTTTCTTTCTTTTTTTTTTTTTGGTGGACTGTAGTCTCAGCTATATTGACTGAATGCAGCCAGAAAGCTATTCTGCATTGATTTCCAATCATCTCAAGACCTCAGGTAAGAGCTGAAATGCACGTAGCGAGCACTCTGGTTCAGACGACTTCGGAGCTGCACGGTTTGTGTTAGGTGTCACTGTGAGAGGATGACGTCATTGCACTCCATAAATACTGCTATCGTCAAGAGACCGCTGAGTTTTTCATGGCCAAGTGGTAATAAAATATATTCTTGAGATGTTTTTCCCTATTCCACTCCCAAAGGTCATTTACTTAAAAACGATTCTTATAGAACAAAATTCTGGTCAAAGCAATAAACAAACTATGCTCCTCTATGCTCTTTTAAATGGAATTGAAGTTTCTATTTTAAAACTGCACTCCTTGGGACCAGCAGTTAGTGTAATGGCTATGTCACTGGACTCCCACGTAGTAGACCGTGGTTCAAGTTCCAGACCGGTGGCTTAAACTTGCTGGGCGCATGTGTGTGCGTGCCCAAGGTCCTGAGAGGAGAATGCGGGAGAAGGGATTGTTGCATGGCCATCCCCCCTGGGGGTGATTTCTCGCTTTCTATCTCTCTGTCTCTTTGTCTTTCTGGCAAGCGCATGTGACCTATAGCAAAAACTTCTCCAAAAAAGAAAAAAAAAAATTGCACTCCTTCATGTAAACAGTAATCCACACGCTGACCAACACCTTCTGAGCGTCAGGTACAAATTTTGTCTTGAAAAGAATGAGTAGATGGGGAAAGAATCTCAGCTTCTTAACCATAGATTTATCGTGAAGTTTTCTTTTTTGTTGTTTAAGAGAAAATTTAAAAAGCAAAACTAAAAAATGACGTTATTTATTTTTCCTCACATTCATTTTACCACCTTCATTTCCATTTTACAAACTGTTTCTAGAGCATCACCCACACTCGGGCACGTCGTGCCAACTGCTGCTGGGAATGGATGAGGAAGCCCCGGGCCTGTCCTGTCAGCGGGGAAGGAGGCAGAAGACATACACTTGCATGATCGTGACCACCAGGCCGACTTAGGAATACCACTGAGGCCTGTCCACTTCGCACCGAGGGCATCCTGCTCTGCCTTTTCTGCTCCCATTCCATTCCTCCAAAAGTACCACATGGCGGACTCCTTACCGCATGGACTCTGCATGCACGCCATCTGCTCCAGCTGGAATGTAAGCTCCGTGAGAGGAGGGGGGGATCTGCGCTTTAGCCCACGAGGAATCTCCAGTTGGGTAGACAGACAGCAACCTCTTTTTTTTTTTGAATAGGTGAATGGATGGCTGAATGAATTCCAAAGATCAAAGGGAGAATAAAGATCCATAGGGAAAAGGGCACACATCCAACCGGCCAGAGGCTTTTAGTGGGCCAAGTTTGAGCTGATCATGAAAAACACGCCAGACACCAAGGTATTCCAGGCAGAGCTAAGAGCATGAAAAAGAGAGGCAGAGGGATGTCCAAGGTGTGTTCGTGGCCCAGGGAGGTCCCCACTGTGCCACTCAGGGGAGCCACTACAGGGACACGGAGGTGCAGAACTATAAGGGTTCAACAAATGTTGAAGCTTGAATCAAAAAGACCAGATGGTCTTTGTGGGAGTTCAAAATATATGCAGCCAATTTACCACTCTCCAGCCTAAACCCAGAATAGGAAGGAAGAGGGTCCCCAAGTAGCCAGATGGGCCAAATCAGCCCCTCCTAAGCCGATGCAGCCAGACTCCCTTTACATGCACCCAGTCCTCTGTGAGCCTGCCACACAGACACCACCCCCCAACCCCCACCCCCCAAGCTGCAACAGAGGCCCCTCGCGGCCTCTTTGTCATGGGCTATGGAAGCCTGGGACTCACAAGCTCCCTTCTGTGACTGCTATTCACACCCACCTCATTGTGTTCAAATCCAGCTAAACACAACCAGGTCTGGGGCAGGAGGTGGGGGGGAGTGGTAAACACACTAGTCTCATAGGGAGGGTTATTTAAAATTCCAGTTTGGGAGCAAATCTCACAAAATAAGGCACATTTACATAAGATGCAATTAGCAGAGCATTGTAAAATTAGCCATCCAGAACATGACCTGCACAGGCAACTACTTTAAAAAATTATTTCCACTGACCTTTGCAATTTCCACATTATTTTATTATTATTATTATTATTATTATTATTATTATTATTATTATTATTATTATTATTTTAGGGAGATTTTTGCTGTAGGTCACATGTACTCGCCAGAGACACAGAGAGACAGAAAGGGAGAAATCAACCCTCAAGGGAGATGACAATGCAGCAATCCCTTCTCCTCCATCTCCCCTCAGGATTCTGGGCCTGCCCAGATGTGCATCTAGCATGAGTTTGAAACCACCGGGTCTGGGACACGAACCACACTTGATTACTTGGGAGTCCAGCAACGTAACCATTAAGCCACCTGCTGGTCCCGACAATTGCCACATTATTACTGAGGCAGAGAAGAAGTGGAATTTGAGGTAGCAGAGAAGAAGGTTTCATAAGGGGAAAATACCCAAAGAGCACTTGCAGCATAGCAAAAACAATTTAGTTCCCCAAAATCAAAATTCCTAGCCAAATTTCTATTAGAAAAAGAAAAAAAAAAGGGGGTGGGGGCCAAATGGTAGTACAGCAGTAAAACTTGATGCTCTGCAAGGCTGGCCTTACATGGAAAGGGTCTGAGTTCACATCCAGGGACCTGAGTATTTCAAGGACGTGTGTACCTGTGACCTGGAGATG